GACTACAAAATTATCTTGACTCCATAATTGACTGGACAAAATTATGGGAAATTAAAATTAACAAGACCCAAGCCGTCCTGATCTCCAACAAACTTGACAAACAAAACAAACATATTGACAACCTCAAACACCCTGTACTTGAACAATAATTTATTATATAAAGTCAGAATTTGTAAGATTATCCACTTTTTGTCAATTTGCCTTTTAACAGGAATTAGTAATGTTAAAATAACCTGTACAAATAAGTGGATTATTGCGGAACTTATGGGTGGACCTCTGCGGGACGAGCGCAGCGAGTTCCGCAGCCATCTATTCACCAATATACTGTTGAACTGTTCAAATAAGACACTCACCTGAAACGTGTACTTTTTAAACTAATGAGAATAACTCATTTTTGAGTGAGTCAAGAGTCAAGTTAGTATCGTATATAAGCAACATATGAATAGATGGCTGCGGAACTCGCTGCGCTCGTCCCGCAGGCATTTTTCCGTTTCCTATCTGGTTACCGCTACATGGAGTGCTAATCCTTTAGGACTTGTAAAATTATACCTGGCATCGCGTTTCCTATTAGGCCAGCGCACATTGCTTACGGCTACATGGAGCGATAATCATATAGGACTTGTTAAATTGTATCTGACGTCGCGTTTCCTATTAGACCAGCGCACACCCTCTGCGATCGTCTGCAGACATCCATTGCAATGCATTATCGTTGTCATTTTTTAAGGTTACATGGTGGTTACAGGTGGTGCAATAATTTTGTAATATTTCTCGTTGTGTCTCGTTTTATTATTACTGGCTGAGTTTCTTTTTGTCATCTTTTTCGTCGATTTGCTCCGAAATTTTGACAAGCACGTGATTCGTAAATTGAAACTGCCATATTCAGTCACGTGCCTGTCAAAATTTCAGGGCAAATCGACGAAGAAGATGACAAAAACAAACTCGGCCACTGTTGATTCTACACTGAGAAATCCTCTAGCCAAAAACTCTACTAATGGATTTTGGGCTATCATAGAGAAATTTTGGCTGTAATTGCAAAACGATCCTATTGTAGTAGTAGAACGCAATTTACTAAGTTAGCAAAAAGTACCTTGGTTGTAACAGTAACCTTCTTTACTGCCACTAATATTTTTTTTCCTGTTACAGTACAAATACTTATTATTAATAAGTATATTAAAAAGTTTGCCATAAGTTTTTTTTATTACTGCTGGAAAGAATTTCACTGCTACAAAAAAAGTTAAACTCTGCAAGTTGTTTTACTTGTTTTATTAATTATTATTAAAAACCAACCCATCAATGTCAAAAGTCATGTAACAGCATAAAGTTGGCAATATGGGCGTAGTTATTTAATTTACGTGCGCTGGTCTAATAGGGTCAATAGAGAACGCGACGTCAGATATAATTTAACAAGTCCTAGTCCTATAGAAGTAGCGCACTATGTAGCGGTGGACAATGTGCGCTGGCCTAATAGGAAACGCAATGCCAGATATAATTTTACAAGTCCTAAAAGATTAGCGCTCTGTGTAGCGGTAACCAAATAGGAAACGGAAAAATGCGTCCCGCAGAGGTCCACCCATAAGTTCCCCAACAATCCACTTATTTGTACTTGAACAATAACTTATTATACAGGGTGAATTCGAAAGTGAGGCTTTTTTTTAACAGGATGTATATCTTACTAAAATAAATTGTTTGGCAGAAAATTGTTTATATAAAAAATTTAAGATAACGGAGGTACAGCTATTTTGAGGTTAGAGGAGACTTCCACTATAAATCACTTTGTTTACATTTTCTCAAAAAAAAAGCCGCAAAAAACCATTATTAGTCAAAAAAACCATTATATGTAGGTACTCATAGTTCCATTATTCCATCAGAAAACATTTCATTTTCAACCTATCAGTTTTCGTTTTAAAGCGAAACAGACAAAATTTAGGAGGGAAATGAAGCATCAGACAAGTGGGAATAATTTTGAACAATTTTTGTGAGAATTTTATACATCTGTCAAAACTGGTATTCCAACAATAAATTGACATGTTTTGATGGTTGATTTGAACCAATCACATTGTAATTACGCGATAGTTTGCACTAGTGCAAATTATCAGATAATTGCATATTAACTGGTGCAAAAACTGGTGTTTTGACATTTGTTGACAAAAAATTTAAATTTTTGATTTATGAAATTCTCTCATTAAATACAACTCGTGCAATAGAAATGTATTTATAATTTTCGACAAATTTGCACTCATGCGTTTTTAACTGAAAAAGGCACTCGTGCACTATGCATTCGGGCAAATTTCCCAAAAATTATCAATAATTTCCATTGCACTAGTTATATTACTATTGATAATTTGTATCATATTTTCTCTACATAAATCTTAGATTATTGAAATTAGATTTTTAATGCACATAACCCTAAAATACCTGTACCTCCGTTATTTTAAATTTTTTCTACAAACAATTTTTTGCCAAACAACTTATTTTGGCGAGATATATACCCTGTTAAAAAAAAACTCACTTTCAGATTCACCCTGTATAATGTCAGAATTTGTAAGATTATCCACTTTTTGTCAATTCGCCTTTCAACATCCGGAATAAGTAATGTTACTTCGCCAAACTAGTAATATTATATTGTGACAAGTTATTCAAGTGCAAACGAGTGAATTGTTGTGCAACTTATGGGTGGACCCAGCCATCTATTCACCAATATGTTGTTCAAATACAATACTAACCTGACTCACTCAGTTGTGAATTTTTTTCATTAGTTCAAAAACTACACGTTTCAGGTGAGTGCCTTATTTGAACAGTTCAAAAGTATATTGGTGAGTAGATGGCTGCGGAACTCGCTGTGCTCGTCCCGCAGAGGTCCGCCCATAAGTTCCGCAATAATCCACTTATTTGTACAGGGTGTTTTTTTATATATTGACACTCCACCTACCTCCATTTATAGGTAGAAGAAAGGTGTAAATACAAAAGTTGTACAGTTTTAGCTGAATTTTTAGAAACCATGGTCAGAAACAAAATTTGAATGTCAGAAATGCAAAATTTTGCATGCCTTCCAGCTTTTTTCAAATGGGATGTCTTATATTTCATTCTATATTCTTCAAGAGCAGAATGCCCCGATCTATATTTGATTGAGCAATTTTTCATATATTCGGCTCCAAAAATTGTAAAAATACTATCCTACTACTGATTTTGTAAACCATTTTACCTGTATAGGTAAAAGCTGCTGGTAAAATTTGAGATACTTGGGTTTCTCTGATAGTATTTTTAAAATTTTTAGAACCAAATATGTTGGAGACGGCTAAACCAAATATAAACAAACTATATAGTTTTGGAATCAGGAAATTGTGCTCTTCAAGAATATAGAACCAAATATAGCACATCTCATTTGAAAAAACCTGAAAGCATGCAACATTTTACATTTCTGACATTCAATTTTTGTTCCTGACCATGGATTCTAAAAATTCAGCCAATATTGTACAACTTTTCTAAGTTTACACCTTTCATCTACTTGTAAAAATGAAGGCTGTAGATGGGGTGTCAATATATAAAAAAAAACACCCTGTACATACAAAGAAAATTGCTATAAAAAAAATCTTGGTTGCAATGTAGTGAACAACTTCACAATTATTTTCCAGATGTTAAGACAAAACCAAAGTGAGGAAAAAAAACTCTAATTTACTGAAGAATTACACAAATAGTCCATGGCCAAAACAATCATGCGCCATAAAAGACAGTAAAGGCCTATAAAAACTTACAAAACCGGAAAAAACAAATGGTTTTCGGGAATTTATATCCAGCTGACTCCCTTTTTACAACCGATAAAGCTGTGTTTTCGACATCCCCAGCCAGGGGGATTTTATGTCGTTTTTTTTTTTAGTTTACTTAAAGAATTTTTCAGCTATAATGTAATTGCAATTTTTCGTATTTGCACATCTCTATCCATAGGATAAGACGACAAAATAAGCCTTTATCTTATTCCTCTATACCTTTGAATATTCAATTTATACGGATGGGAGGACTTATTGCATGAGGGGGATTTGATTAGTTTAAACAATCATTTCAATCAAAAATCACTTCTACTTGGAATAAATAAAAAGCTTAATTATGCGATAAATCAGTCCCATTATTCCACACATTCGCTGATGGCTTTTCTTTTTCTCTTTCTGTTTCGATGCATTTTAAATAAGTCTGGAAAATAGGAGAGTTGTCAATTTGTAATTAGCGCCAAACAGTTTTTAAGTGCTTTGTTCAGAAAACCGTAAAGAGTTGCAAATGGTCCCCGGCTCTAATTTTCAAGGATTTAAATTGTCCGTATTTGGGATTCGATCGCCATCAACCCACTATTATACTGTCAACCCTGATGATGCGGCCAGTAGCGGTACTTTTTTTATTTTCTCTTCAATCGCCGCACGTTGATTGGGTCCGAGGGCGTGAAATTTAATTATTGTCCCGGAGACTCATTCAAATTGAAAAATTTAGAAGAACTAGTATTGCAACTATTCGCCTTATTGTGTCCAAACGAACATAAATCTCCACGAAAATATCCAGAGAATTCGGGGATTTACTTACTTTGTGTATAGCCGACAGTCAAAAACTTTCACCATCCAATCCGGTATGGAATTTGAAATTCCCATTTTGGTCCCCAATTTTAGGGAACTCTCTTCTCTCTCTCTGACGCTTCTTGTCTTATAATTACACCGGGAATAACTGGAATTCTCTGCGTAACAAAAACAATTACTTCGCTACAAGGAATTTAGAGACTATAAAGGGTATAGACTTTGAATATTTGGAAAAAATCATATACGTATAGGAAAACAAGTATCTCCTTAATCTTAGGAGATATAGTTTCACGCAGGAAAAGTTGTTTTCCATGAATTTTTCAACTATAGGTAAGTCTTTATACTCACCAATTGTTTTTTCTGAAGTTTTTCGTATTGACTTTTGACACCCTTGCTATTGAATCCTTAAAATCCTGATTTTTAACACAATGTTTTTTTTTTCAGACGCTCGTTCTTCTTATGCTGAAATTAGCTTTCCTGCAACTATAGGTAAGCAAAATATGGTCTGCTATCTTAAAATCAGCTATTTCCTGTACTGTAACATAAACCCTGATTAGCTATTACCTCGTAAATCTATTCACGCTAACAAATATGGTCATCGTATAGTACCACAGTTGTCGCTAAGATAGCCTGTAGTACCAACTCCTAAATCATCCACGACGGCCGATTTTTCGTATTTCAAAACCGCAATTACATTAAATATTATCTGTTGCGGAAGATGTAGTTCGAAAACAGGTGCATTATTATAGTGGAATTAAAGAACCAGTAGGTGTTTATACTAGGAGGCATTTAGGTCTTACATGCCCACAAAATTTATGTCCGCATTGTTCGATTGTCTACGTGGTACTCGAACAGGTTGGGTCTTTGATATAAAATAATATACGCCTTTGAGATTTGACGTTTGGTGAATTTATTGGCTTAAATATACTGTTTGTATAGGGTGTATCGCGAGAATTTTTAATAATCCCTTATGTTGGAAAAGTTCACTGTCATTTTACAGTTTACTATGATTACGCTAACAAGTAAACATGTGTCAGCAAGAAATTGGTTCGACAACCAGAGCCGCTTTCGGGTGCAGAGTGCGAAGCTCCTGGAACGCTTCACACCTGTCAGTGACCTGTCATTCTACATGCATTTTGCACTCGAACGCTTGATACCGAATGGGTCAAACTGTTGCTGGAGTACTTTTGAGTAACTCGGGAGCGCTCAAAAGGTGGCACCCGAAAGCAGCTCAGAAATATCACATGATTTGTTGCTGCGTCTAGTGACCTGATTTAAGTTTTAAGTAGATACCAATTCTATGATTCTGGACTATATAGAAAGAAGGCATTCCGTTAAATACAACCCAAATCTATTTAAATTTATTTTATTGGTTTAGATGGGGCTCTTATTAGTTAAAAACCACGTGACCACTCTTAGAATTAATTGTAAGACTGGTGAACTATTTTATATGATTTAGATGGGGCTCTTATTAGTTAAAAACCACTTGATCACTCTTAGAATTAAATGTAAGACTGGTAAACTATTTTATATGGTTTAGATGGGGCTCCTATTAGTTAAAAACCACGTGACCGTGACGAACGAAGCGAGCGAGTGCTCTAAGGCCTCGCGAGATTGGTAAAACCCTTTGCGAATGCGTTGCTTATACTATTTTTTCTACTGACGTTTCATAATAGCAACTTTTCGATTGTCATTTCAGTTTTGAAACGACATTCTTTTAGGCACTGAGTGCGTGAAAGTTACTTTTAGGCACTCAGTGCGTAAAAGTGACTTTTGAATGCGTAAAAGTGACTTATGAGTGCGTAAAAGTAATTTTTAAGCACTAGTGCCTAAAAGTGTCATTCATTATTCAGAAATAAAAAACACACTAAACACATATTTGAATTTTGTTTTGTATTTATTATGAATATTGAAAATGGAATTACTGAATTGAACGTTTGGGTTACTCAAAACAGAAGTTTGTGTTATTACCTACTTTCTAGGATTTTAATTATTGATGTCGAATTTTGAAAGGAAAATCGCATGAAAAGTGTCAGGTGTCAAGTAAAAGCAGGTAACAAAGATTTTGGGTGTAATCGACTTATTCACATGAAATAAAATTGTGTTTTTTTATTATAAAATGCCAGTAGAAAAAATCTTGTATACAATACGTTACGAAACGATGTCTTTTAGTCACTCGACGTGTTGTCCAACTCGGCTTTGCCTCGTTGGACAATTTTCACGTCGCGTGCCTAAAAGACGCTCATTTCGTAACTTATTGTATAAATAGCTATTTCCTATTTTGGTGTCATATCGAAGTCTTTTCGACACTAAAAGTAGTTTCGAAAAGAAGCTCTTTGTGACACTCCTTTTTTACTTATCGGAGGTTGGTAACACTAGCTGATTGATGGCCATTGAACTGTCATTCGCGATAAAAAATAATAGAAGATTTTTGGCATGTAGCGTTGCCAACCTAAACATATGAAATCAGGAAATATGAGAATAAATTTTCCAAAAAAAGTTTGTTTTTTTCAATTAAACAATACCAAAATAGAAAAAATAGTATAAAATATTCGTTTCATAAGAGATTTTATCGCACGAGCCCTATATTAGAAAACGAGCCGGAGGCGAGTTTTCTAAAGGGCGAGTCTTATGAAACTTGTATTTTAATGTACTATTATCGCATTTTTGACAGTAATGTGATACATAACTGATTCAAAATTGAGTGGTAAAGTGCCACTTACCTCGATAGCAACACTTTACCACATAGTAACGTCATTGATAGCAACCAATTTGTAAATCAATTTTCCTCTGTTAAGCCTTATTCACAGTGTGCGAAATTGCAGCATTTCGCAATTTCACGCCAATCAAATAAATTAAAAATAGGAAAAAGTATTTTTCTACAAACGTCACTAAAAGTGTCATTTTTAACGGATGCTGTCAGTGTCTAAAATGCCATTTTATGACACTGGTGTTAAAAGTGATTACTTTTAGCACTAGTGCTAAAAGTAATCACTTTTAGTGCGTTTGTAGAAAAAATAGTGTATGATATTCGTGCTAAAAGTGATTTTATTTTGTTCAAAGGGATGGAACACTCCGCCTTTGGCGTCGTGTCCCAAACTTCCCTTTTCACAAAATAAAATGTCACTTTTAGCACTTATATCATAAATAACTATTTTATTTCTGGTTATTATAAAAATTGATAATACAATTATTAACTTTTGACACACGATCGTGCGAAAGGGAAAGGCTTTACAAAACACAATGTTTTTCTATGCAACGTTTCGTAGTTATATTACTACTTTTTCAAGCACTACAAAAAATAAAAACAGAACATGTACGTAAATTTTTTTTTTAAATATTAAAATTCCTACCTGAAAAAATTAGTGTCTCTGTGCCCTGGAACTTACAAAAGTTTTCGTTTCAGGAAGAAAACAGAAAACATCATCCAAACACATAGTTATAGCAATAGTAATAGGTACTTAAAATTTTTGAATGTCAACCGGTGGTCGGCCATTAACTACTGGTATGAAAGTTTTTGTGTGATGATACATATTGTTATTTCTTCTGCCCTTGAAGACTCTTAAGTGTCCTTTACTTTATTTTATGGACTTTAAAAAAACAAAAATTACTATACTCGTGAAACCACAGAGCACGAAGAGACTTTAATTTTAAGTTTAAGATCGATAAATGAAAATAAATAGACACAATACATATAACATATACCGCACCTCAACCATCTTACTGGAAATTGAGACATTTTTCACAATCAAGTTGAATTATTCCTGGCAATTTTTTTCAAAATGTTTGTGTAAATGACACTTAAGCCCTGAGTGTCCGATCTTAAGTTAACCGTGTCATTCAAATTAATCTGGTTCATCTCCCCTACGTTGGAATTTCAAAAAATTAAGCTAACTAATTTAAAAAAGATAGAAAACCTATTGGGAAGGAGCTCTTATTTTCTGATCACACCTGATAAGAAATATTTAATCAATTATACTCAAGTAACTCTTCCAGAAGAAGTTAAAAGAGCTCTATCACTAGGACTAAAATTCGGGTTGCCATTGAAACCTACAAAAATTCCGATACCAGCCATGATTAAAGACTTAGAATACTGTATCACCCATCAGGCAGTAAACGAATTGGAGAAAAATAGCATTAGAGCAACGACAACAAATATCTTGACAAATTTTTATAATGACTACCAAACACCAAAAACATACAGTGCAATCGTTCGAGATGTCGAGACATCGAAGAGGTTTCTGAAGGATAATCCAAACATTATGGTGGGCAAATCAGATAAGGGTAATTCAACTGTAGTCATGGATAGGAAAGAATACGACGACAAAATGGGTGAAATGTTAAGCGATGAAAGAGTGTATAAAACCGTCACCAGGGATCCCACAAGAAAATTTCAGGAGAAGGCCAACCTGTTTCTCAAGCAGCTGAGAGAGAATTGTGTTATTGACGAAATCCAAGAAAAAAGAATGAAAGTTCATAACTCCACTGCCCCAAAAATATACGGACTTAGGAAAACGCACAAAAATAATTTTAGCTTAAGGCCCATTGTTAGTTGTATTAATACGCATTGCTACAATCTTGCATCTTTCTTACATCAGGTCTTATTTCCAATCACTACAACATTATACAACATATACCTTCAATATTAAGAACTCGTTTGAATTTGTAGAAATTTCTAAATCAGTCGTTTTATCATCTGGATATGAGCTAATATCTCTGGATGTAACTTCATTATTTACAAATATTCCTAAACAACTTATAATAGATATTATTTCAAAAGACTGGAGGTTCATCTCCGCTTACGTTGACATTCCTAAAAATTTATTGGTAAACATGATATCGTTTTTTTTTGATTCCAGCTATTTTACCTTTAAAGACACCATTTTCTTACAGATGGATGGCAGCGCTATGGGCAACCCTCTAAGCCCCACTCTGGCTAATATTTTAATGAATGACCTGGTTTCAACGGTCTTGAAAACTCTTCCATTTGATGTGCCTTTTTTCTGCTTATATGTTGACGATTCGATCACAGCCATAGCTGCTGAATATTCACATGTCATTCTAGACTTTTTCAATGCTTATCATCCAAATCTAAAATTTACACTGGAAAGGGAAGTGAACAACAAAATAGCCTTCCTAGATACTGAGATAACCAGAGAAGACCATGGAAGTTTGAAAACCAACTGGTTCATCAAACCTACCAGTTCAGGAAGAATATTAAATTACTTTTCCAACCACCCAGCATCTCAGAAAATAGGCACAATTACCGGCCTTCTTCACAGAGCCGAGAAACTGAGCCACCCCTCCTTTTTCAACGACAATATCCTAAAAATCAAATCCTTGCTCAAACATAACAATTATCCCACCAGCTTTGTGAACCAATGTATAAGCAGATATCGAAGGAACACCACCAATCATCGCAGTCCAGAGCCAAATGTTCATTATTTTAAATTCCCTTTTATCAATGGCCTCTCACAGAAAATCAATAA